TTTTTTTTTTTTTTTTTTTTGGTTCCACGTTCGGCCGAACGTCTGAACGCGTTGAGAGGGGGTCCCAAACGTTCGGGCGTTTGGGTTCGGGTGTTCGGCCCGTCCCGAATGCCGTCACAAACAGATTCATGATTGTCAAAAAAAAAAACAGTTGATTTTTTTTTCCCTTTCTTTCGGCAAAAAAAAATAAATTAAAAATGCAAAAAATATATATATATATATATATTCTATTTGTGACGATATATAATGATATATATATATATATACGAAGAAAGAAAAGGAATAAAATTTTCAACTGGGTTCTTTTTTGACAATCATGAATCTGATCTGGGTTCATTGTAATACGAGTATATATATATGTATATATATATATATATATTTGTTTTCTTTTTTGTTTTTTATCTTGTGCCCAAATAAACGAATTTTTTTTTTGAACAGGATTATTTTTTTTTTTTGACAATCGTGTTCATGATCTGGGTTCAGTGTGTCGAGTCAGTTTGTCGAGGGTTCAGCCTCCTTATGAGTCCGTCAAAAACTGACACCAAACAGTTTGTCACATGCCCCTCGTTTGTTGTCCTCTTCTCTCTCTATGCCAACGATTTACCGGGCACTTCTACATATATATATATATATATATATATATATATATATATATATATATATATATATATATATCGTCAAACAGAATTGCCCGGTAAACCGTAGGCAGAGAGGGAGAAGAGGACAACAAAGGAGGGGATGTGATATATATATATATATATAATGGCTTCCATGCGGACATTCGAACGGCCATCCGGTCGGTCTGGGGTCCGGTGTCTGGACACCGGACCGTAGGAGGCCTGTCCGGTAGGGGCTGAAATCCAAAAATCGAAAAAAAAAGGGGGGCACCCTAGACCTGTTCCTTGGGTCCAGGGCGCCCCCCTAAAGATGTTTGGGGGATTTTTGGGGCTGGTATCGGCCGCACAGGGTGGCCGGACCGGCCGCATTTTTACTTCACTAAGTTCACTTCCCTGCCATCTTTGAAGACCGTTGGCGGGTGGAGGCGTTTTGATGTGTCCCGCCCGACATTTCCGGCCCGCCGTTCGTTTGCATTTGCTCGAGGCCGGCCGACACATTCACACGCCCACGCGCACGCACACACACACACACACACACACACACACACACACACACACACACACACAAACACACGCGCGCGCGCGCACCCGTGCGCGGAGAAGGACAGAGAGACTGCAAATCGTCAGGTCGCCTTCGGCAAGACGCGAGAGAGAGAGAGAGAGAGAGAGAGAGAGAGAGAGAGAGAGAGAGAGAGAGAGAGAGAGAGAGAGAGAGAGAGAGAGAGAGGGAGGCTGTAGGGTCCTCCATTGTGCTGGTGGTGGTGATCGTCTTCCAGGTGCTTCATCAGCCTGCCGGTCGTCAGCAAGCTCCTCTGTCAGGTCACTCCATTGTGCTGCTGGTGGTGGTCGTCTTCAAGGTGCTTCATCAGCCTGCCGGTCGTCAGCAAGCTCCTCTGTCAGGTCCGTCTCTCTCTCTCTCTCTCTCTCTCTCTCTCTCTCTCTCTCTCTCTCTCTCT